AGGACGGCGGCCATCAAGACGAGCGTGCGCCGGCCGCCGAGGTAGTCCGTCGCCGGCCCGCCGAGGAGCTTGCCGAGCGTGTAGCAGGCGGAGCCGAACGTCAGGAGCTTGCTCACGTCGTCGTGGGTCAGCGTATCCTTCATGAAGGGGATCGCGAGGGACACGGTGCCCTTGGCGTACATGCCCACGGCGTAGGCGACGTAGAGCACGCCGAGCGTCGCGTAGTGCTGCCGGCTCCAGCCCGGGGCCGCCGCCGCGACGGCCGCGGGCGGCGGCGGCGCCGCGGCCGGCGGCGCGAGCGGCATCGGCGTCGTCGGCGCGTGCAGCGGCGGCGCGGCGACGGTGCTCCGGCCCGTCGTCGACCACGTCTTGTGTATGCGCACGGGGCGCCGCGTCGCGACCTTCTCCAGCGACATGGCGCGGCAGGACAGCACGAGGCACAGCGTCCGGGCCATCGTCGCCATGGCCCGTTGTCGTCGGCTTGTTTTTTGCGGATGCGGACGACGGGGCTGCCGGCGGCGTCGTCGCTTGGTATTTTGCGGATGCGGACGACGGGGCTGCCGGCGGCGTCGTCGCTTGGTTTTTTGCCGATGCCGAGTCCTGCGCCGCGCTCCCGGCTGACGACGGGGCTGCCTCAGATCCAGGACTTGGTTTCTTTCGCTCGATTGAACAAGGGGGCGGGTACGACCCGAGCGCCTAAGGTGAAGTGTAGTTGCACAGCTCTCTCAAAAGAGGCTATGAGGGCCAGCGCAGCAATCGCACTCGCACTCGCAGCGTGCGCGTCGGCGGTGAAGCTGGCGACCCGCTCCGTCGCGGCGCCGACGCGGCGCACCGCGCTCCTGAGCACCGCGGCGCTGGCGCTCGCGCGCGCGCCCGCGGCGTCGGCCCAGGCCCTGGCGCGCAGCGTCGAGCAGAAGATCGCCGTGGTCAACGTCGACGGCACGACGTCGACGACGACGGCGACGCGGCTCACGGGCGAGCTCACGGGCCTCGACCTCAGCAACCGCCGGGACATCACGGAGCGCGTCTTCGGCGACGCGATCCGCGCCGACTGGCCCGCGGCGGCGTCCTGCGGCCGCGACGATTCTCGAGAGATTTGGGGTGGGAAACCAATGAAACATCGTCACCGTCGTGCTTGGTAGGCCCGATGCGCCGCCGTGGAAGCCCCGCGACTTCCGCCGCCTCGACGAGAGCGACGACGCCGCGTTCTACGCCGCGAGCGAGCCGCGCTTCGTGTACCACATCGACGAGGGCGCCGTGGCGGCGCTCACGAACTACTACAAGGCCGAGATCCCCGCCGGCGCGGACGTCTTGGACATCTGCAGCTCCTGGGTCTCGCACTACCCCATCAACACCAAGTACGGCAAGGTCGTCGG